TTTTTTTTTTTTACAGTGCTTTGTGTTCTGCCTCGTGATTGGCTGTAGACAATTGTCAATCAATCTCGTGCCGTGTCTCCTGTACAGTACAGAATGCCTTCAGCTTGTCAAATATGCATAAATATACATAAATCTTGCCATCGCTGGCATGGAACGCACGCCACTGCCCATTCCGTCACAGATTTGAGAAACCCCGGCCAAACAAACTTAAAGCTGACCGGTTTAACAGAGGCTCAGACCCCTGGATGAGATAGAGCGTGTATCGAGTGAAAAGTGCGACAACACCATGAAAAGGGAAACGTCACAGACAGGAGAGGACCGCCATCCTGCACTGGTCTGTCCTCCAGCATGAGGCCTGTCTGCGCAGATTTAAGTGCAAGGATGTCTGGGTCACCACTCTGATCAGCAGCCATGGCGGAGTAGTCTATGCCGACATAAACTGGAGAAACCAGCGAGACAAACAGTCAGCCATGGTTGCTGAATGTCCGTGGTAAACTCAGAAATGGCTGCCAAATGGTGCTGCTGGCACGCACTCCATGGGTCAGAGACTCTGGACATCGCAAACGTCAAGGGTTTGTGGTCCACGTATGCGGTAAAGTCACGACCCTTGAGAAAAAAAACGAGAATGACGCATTTCCAGGTGGAGAGCCAGTAGCTTCCTGTCAAAAGAGCTGTATTTGCGCTTGTTGTCCCGTAGCGTGCGGCTAAAAAAGCAAGTGGTTGCCAGCCACCTGAGATTCACTGTTCTAGCACTGCACCCACCGCTACGTCCAACGCATCGGTGTTCAGTGCAATCTGCGCCGATGGGGACGGGTGGGCCAGGAGCCAGTCAACAGAGTCATTAGCCTTTTTACCCTTCAACACGCTGTACAGCGGCTGCAGCAGGTGCGCCGTTCTGGGGAGAAGGCGGTCGTTAAAATTCACCATCCCCCAAAATTCCTGCAGTGACTTAACAGATGTCGGACACGGAAAATCTGAAACAGCACAGACTTTGCCTGGCAACGGAACTGCACCCTCAGCGAAGATACGGTGCCCCAGGAAATCGAGAACCGGTGTTCTCACAAACCATCCTACTTTGGCAAACCGTCCTACTGGTAGGATAATTTGACAGTGATGTCTGACAAACCATCCTACTTTGGATGGTTTCTCAGATATAGCCGTCCTGATTGGCTATATACCACAGGTGTCGAACTCCAGGCCTCGAGGGCCGGTGTCCTGCATGTTTTAGATGTGTCCGTGTTCCATCACAGCTGATTTAAATGGCTAAATTATCACCTCAACATGTCTTGAAGTTCTCCAGAAGCCCTGTAATGAACTAATAATTTGATTCAGGTGTGTTGAAACAGGGTGATATCTAAAACCTGCAGGACACCGGCCCTCGAGGCCTGGAGTTCGACACCCCTGCTCTATACCATTATAGCACCAACATCAGTCTCACTGACTGTTGATACAAGGCTGGATGGATCTATGCTTTCATGTTGTTTACACCAAGTCCTGATCCCACCATCCAGTCTCAAAACGTAGCCTCTGTTTCCTGTTTTTAAGTGAGAACAGTGGCACCCAGTGGGGTCTTCTTCTGCTGCTTCTGCTCACAAGTTCAACATCTTGTACGTTCAGAGATGCTCTTATGCATAACTTGGTTGCAAACACTGGCTAATTGAATTACGCTTCCCTTCCTATTGGCTTGAAGCGATCTGGCCTTTCTCCTCTGACCTCTGGCGTCAAAAAGGCACCTCTCACAAAGAGAAATGCTGATCACTGGAGATTTTCTATTTTCTGGACTATTTTCTGTAAATATATAGTTGTGCTGGAAAATCAGAGTAGATGAGCATTTTCTGCAGGATTTTTGTGGCTCGAGAGATATGGCTGAGTTGTCTGTCAGTCTGAAGGCTGGTGGCTCGATCACCACATCCTCCAGCCTGCATGTCAAAGTATCCTTGTGTAAGATACCGAACTCCAGGTTGCCCCGAGACATTCATCTGAGTACGAATGTGAGATTGAATGTTACAGAAGGCACTTAGGCACAGAATAAAGCACTTTATGAATGTGGGTGTTTGACTGGGGGAGTGAGGCTTGTAGTAAAAAAGTGAGTGAGTAGTAAAAAAGGGCTTTGAATTCTCAGTTAGAGTAAAAAAGCTGCATCTAAGCACTAATCCATTTACCATTTTTCTGAAATACCCTGAAATACAGCCCACCTGACACCAACAGCCACTTTCAAAGTCACTTAAATCACCTTTCTGTTCAGTTTGAACTTCAGCAGCTTGTCTTAACCATTTCTACAAGCCGAAACGCTTTGAGTTGCTGCCATGGGAAATTTGCTTTAACAAGCATTTGAATCAGTGTACCTAACAACGTGGCCAGTGAGCATATTAAAAAAAAAAAAAAGTAAAAAAGTCACGAGGGAGGAAATTAGCAGCAGAGCAAAAACATCACTGTACCAGGCTGTAAACATGTTAATTTCTGGTGTTAACAAGGCAGCCTATTTGGACTGACTCATTTTTGGAGCCAACCTCAGGAGGCTATTTCAGTAACCGCAAGTTGGCTTCATTTTTTTTTGCCTCTGAACCTCTCTGACGCGTGGCATTAGGTGAGACGTGTCGCCACATTTAATCTTGATTTATGCAGCAACAATTTTATCAGTTAATTTTAGTTAGCCAGGCCACAATTACGTCTGGCAGCTGGAGCATTTCATTAATTAATTCTTGCAATGAGTTTCTGTGGCGTATCATGTTTTAGTTTAGTCCCGCCACAATAACTGTAGTAAGCATTTATAATATTCCTGCATGAATTGACAAAAGAGCTGGTTCAACTGCATTCTGATCCCTGGTGTTCCTCATACTGTGCAAATATTGCTTATAAACATTTAATGGAAATCCTTGGTGGTCGGGGGTGGGGGGGGTCAAGCACACACAGGATGGGAATCATGAGAGGTGTTGGGCTTAGTCAAGGTGAAATCTCCTACATCTCCTGTTTTCTAACTCAGTGTGTGTGCTGTACCTGCTAAATCTGTGCTGCCCGCCAAAGCCCAACCAGAGAAGCTAAACACTGAACATTCCTGTGTTCACAGTGCAGATGTAATGCACACACACACACATGCACAAACACACCCGCAGCTACAAAAGAAATATACTGTACCCACACAGGAACACGTGGAAGTTACACAAGGGCTAGGACATAAACAGACACAGACTCAGTAGACAGCTATGTATGGAAACCCACTCCCCAACCTTCTGCGCTCACATGCGCCTTCACTCTCGTACCAGCTGGTTACACAAGTGCTCTGTGATTGGCTTGAGGGGGGCTTGAGGGAGATGAGACCTAAAATAACTTCAAAATCCTAATTGGACCGGAATGGGAAGTTTGGGTAGAGAACCATTCGAGAAAAGATGACAACTCGCCTCCACCCCCACCCCACTAAGAAAAGTGATGAGAATAGCCTGTGCATTGTTATATTCTTTTACTCCTTACTCCTTCCAGGTTGTAGTTTTGCTCTAAATTCCTAGTTTGCAGACTTTGAGTTGTAACGTTTGTTTGAATGTACTGTTTTAGGAATTAAGACCCTGGAAAAAAGCCTTTGCAGAGATGCACATACCTCAGGAAGTCTCTTAAGGATGCTGAATTTCAGCCTCTCATTGGCATCACTGTTGTCCAAATCTAAACACACAGAGAAAACAGAGAGATGACATGTTGCTAATTAGTCTACTGAAGACAAACCCCAAATGCTAGAAAAAATACCACAACACCTCACTTGAAATAAATGCAAATATCACCATCAAGATTTCCACAATCCTCAGCACTCAGTCTAGACGGCATGTAAAACTCTTCTTAATGCTCCTTCAAGTGCCACATTTATTACAGGTAATTAAAACAAACAGAAAATATGAATAAATAGTCAAATATCTTGATGCATGCTCAATCATCCAGGTAAGGAAATCTAAAAAAGCTCATTCTGTTCATCTGGACGTAGCGTTTTCAGCGGGAGAAACGTTTCGTCAATCATCTAAGTGACTTTTTTAGTCTCAGTTGAATCCAGCTTTTCCCAACCTCATAAACAGTAATGAAATCTAATAGGGGACATTTAAAATTTGATGTTTACCCTAAACCTATGCATCAAGATCACTATCAATGGTCCTTGATCAGTGGTTGATCAGTCGATATGACAATTTGCATATTAATGATGAAGAAACTGACCTCACAGCCCATTGTTCATCAGTGGTGCTAGTTTCAGTCATTATGCAAATATACTGTTAAGGGTTGGGGAAACCTGGATTCAGCTGAGACTGAAGAAGTCACTTGGATGAGAGATGAAATGTTTCTCCCACTGAAAACGCTACGTCCAGGTGAATAGAATTAACCTTTTGGGTAATAGTAAAATATATTTTACTTTGAAACAAGCAGAAAAAGCTTCACACGTGAGTACTAATTACTAATTTAATTCTTAGAACCACTTACGACAGCAGTTTCAGCACAGACATAACTCCACACATCCCAAGCAGCAAAGCAATATTAATTCCTAATAAAGTTAACGATACTTAAATAAATAAAACAGCCAATGTGAAAATATGCAAACATGTGGCTAAAATCAGATTATTATTAATGTGCATTAAACCTTATTATAGTAGCTGTTATAAAGGAGCTGCGGAAGCACTTAGACTTGGACTTTGGTGCAATCAGTCTTTGACTGAAGGTTCTGCTGTTGATAACCTCCAGGGCATGGAGCAGGTGTGTAGGGTTGATCATAACTTATTTCAGCTTCTGGAGCATTTTTCTCTCCACCACCTGCTGGACTGTCTCAAGTCCAGCAGGATCCAATTATTTCACACATTGCTCTTAAATGGCACGCAGAGGTGGGACTACAGAGCTCTGCACTGCACCTAGAGAGTGCAGTACCATGCCAAAGCTTTCATGGGGCTGAAGTTGGTGGGTGGTCAGCCCACCATTTATGGTTTGAGCTAAAAACCACTGGAAGTACTACCACTAACTTTTTTATAGTTAAGTGGCAAATTAAGATGGTAAAACCTGCTTAACAGCAGGATTTTAGCATTGCCATTCTGAACACACAGCATTCTAATCTTACAATGTTGTATATCTACAACATATATACAGTATATTGATTGGATGGTGTGGAATAAGGGAAATATTTTACTGCTACTCATACTCATCATTATAACCATTGCATTAATTAACTTTGCATTAAGTCATTACCATTGCATTAATCAAATTAATCATCATTTCAGTAAAACATTTATTGAAGCTGTTGGCATTACATTAACCTTTTTATTACAGGTACAGCTAAGATCATTTTGCACACATTGCATTTTGTGCTATTTAAAGAGTTGGAGCTCGGTCAATTAATCGGAGGTTGTAAGCTTTGTTCGGCGCGATGTCCAGACAATCTATTGTGTAAGTGCTGTGGAGCAATAGAAGGTTAAAACTGCGTACACGCCTACAAAACACATATAATACATATAATCTAGAAACAGGCTTGAGTGAAGGCCTGAATGTATCCGGCTTCTTGTTGCATTTGAGTTTTGCTTAGTAACAGGTGACAGAAGATGGGCCAAAAAGGAGGACCAGTCCCTGGGAAACGTCAGAGCCTGAATCCATCGCCATATTTGGAGAAGATGCTAGAGAGGGGAACTTCAGTGTCTGCATTTATCTCTTAAAATTGCTCATTGTCTATAAAACATGCAAATGATGCCCTTAAAATACAAATTATGTTCTTGTACAACGCGAGAAGGGCCGTTAACCAACCCTGACATTATAAAAGCAATCTGAAGTGTATTTTTGGGTGGAGATCTACATCTGATGTTTTGCAGTGTACATCTTCCCACGCGTGTGTTCAATAAACTCATCTGTTTGATTGCATCCTTCTGGGCCTCTGATATTTTGTTTTGGTTCTCAACATCGCGAATCGGGACAATGGGAAGAACTTTCAGTAAAAACATACTAAGAACACGACACAGAGCGAATTACACCAACTTTGAATACATTCAGACTCCATCCATCCATTCATCCATCCATTCGCTTCCGCTTATCCTTTTCAGGGTCGCGGGGGGCGCTGGAGCCTATCCCAGCTGTCATAGGGCGAGAGGCGGGGTACACCCTGGACAGGTCGCCAGTCTGTCGCAGGGCCAACACAC